CAAGCTGAGGGAGGACCACTGACCTGGCCACTTGTATGTCTGCCACAGCCTCTCCCACCTCACTAGTAAACATGGTTATAAAATTGCAAATCAGTATATCATAAGAGTTATGGCTGGGATGAATGACGTAATATAAACATTCTGTAAAAAATAGTCTCAGAGTTTTCTATGTCCAAATGAGAATAGTAATTCAATGTTATCTTGGCGTTGGTCTGACGACGGTGAGGTACTTTCCCGTGTTGACTAGAGAGCTGCAGAGTGATGACCACACGCTCATGACCAGTGTTGCTACCAACACCACCCCCAGCAACATATACACCACATAGGGCACGATTACTCTGCTCGTCCCCAGCTGCTGCTTCTCCCCAAGGGAGTCGTGGTCCAGGGTGAGCAGTGTGCTGAACACGATATAGAGCGAGGAGGGTAGACTCCATCGCTGGATAGGGGCAAAGATGGCCAGTCCTAAAATAATATACACAATCAATAGGGCAAGGTATATCACCCAGGGCACCGCGTGGGTACGCCTCGATGCCTGTGGATTCCCTGTTCTGCTCTGTCTCTGTATTGTGGGGTCCACACCTCCGGGAAAGGCTTGTTCACTTGATATAGTCCTATACTGGGAGTTGTTTGGACCAGTTCCAGTAACACTATTCGAGGCACTCGAGGAACTACTTTGGTCTGTATCTCTTGGTGTTGAGGAGAGACCACTGATGGAGCCGAGAGTAGAGTCTAGTGTTGGCACCCGGGACTGCTGCTGAAGGTCGGACATTCCTATGGGAAGTTTATTTTTGGCACTGTTGGATAGCCCTGTTGAGCCGGATCGTTCCCAGGGACCATTAGGAGTGAAGTGGGTACTAGGCTCTGTAGCCCCGGGGCTAACACCCGCACTAGTTGAACTCTGAGGTCTGCCGGCCAAATTGAGGGTACTTAGAGCAGAACCTCCTCGCCCGCTGCCATACTGCCCCGCACGCCCTTCCATCACTTCACCGTTTCCATCGGCGATTCTTGCTTGTTTACCATATCCACAGCGCCACGCCCACGCCTTTCCCATTCCCTCGCGAATGGTGAAAGCTCCGCTGATGGCTAGCAGCAGGACGAGAGGCGCTCCGACCAGGGAGAAGAGGACGGCAAAGACACGACTGAAGCTGGTGCGTAGCGTCATGCCACTGGGACCTGCGGAGTGAGGCTAGAGTCAGGTCAACACAACCAAGCTTCAGAAAACACAGCATTTCCTCAGGGATACCACACAATTATGCTTCAGTCATCACAAAACCATAGCTCAGTTAACACTCTCATAAACTACCACTCTGGCGCTTATGGATAAAAAAAAAATATTTCATGACTTTTTTCGTAGATACGCACACATGAAAACACATGTGCGTATATACACTTAAGAACACGTGTGCGTATATACACTTGAGGGCACGTGTGTGTGTGAGTATATACACTTGAGGGCACGTGTGTGTGTGAGTATATACACTTGATAGCAACTGTGCATATATACTTGCCCTCATTATAAGGATGAGTGAAGTCATCTGCATTATTGTTATTTTACGATATTATTTTTTCATTATTATGTTTCATTATTATTTATCTAACTTATTGATACTACTAATAATTGTTAATGAATTTTACTACTGTTATTATTAATACTATTCATGTCGTAGCAAAAGACCCTATGGGTATGATCTAATTAAGCCGGCGTGTTGATGACGTACCCACGAGGGTGGTGAGAGAGGCAGAGTAGAGTAGAGCGCCAGACATGGTCCAGGTGGGAGCTCTGGAGGCGTAGCCGGCTCTAGCAGCGTCCAAGACGGCCAGCTCTAGACGCTCCATGTACAGCTCTATCTTGCTCCTCCATACAGCCTCGTAGGGCAGTACCTGCAAGCACACACAAACACACACATGATCTTAAGTTACCATAGACACATCAAAATAACAATCAGAATGAATATGATGCTGATACTGATAACGCAGCTGATGATAATGATTAGCAGCATTATTATTAATGTCATGGAGAAGTGTTAAAATCGTGAAGCTCCAAAAGGACGACAGGTGCAATTCTACTGATCATGAACCCAACAGTTTATTCAGTTGCTTTATTATGTACCCTATACCCAGCCTATAGGCAGTAGGAAAAAAGAAAGATTATAGAGGCCAATAATGGATCCAGGGATTAGGTCTCAAAGTTTTGGTAGTTGAACAAATTACAGTAGTCGTGAACTGCTTACATGTTTATATGTGGTTACAGTAGTAATAAATTATATATCCAGACTTGAATTCAGTCGCAAATATATGTAGCTTTAAATTATTTATATTGCCTTATATTTTAGCAAGGGACAGTTGAATTTAAATAAGCTTATAGAGATTATGAGTCATTTACAATAGGCAAACTCTGAATGTTTCCAGAATGGTTAGAAATATACCGCTGATGATAAAATACCTTGACATTTCTTGAATATTTGTGAGCGAGATGCCTCGAAATTCATTAGTTTTATCGCATTCTAGCACATAACGAGGCAGGGTATGGCACTGGTTCATCTGGCAAAGTTTATATTTAGTTATGTCTACGTCAGCTGATGATATATTTTAAAGATTGATGAACTGATTGGTGTCAATCTTCCCTCAATCTCAAGTCAACGAAGTTTAATTGAAGTTCTCTTTGTATTATTGCCTTCAAACTACTAGTTGACAGTCCAGGGTTGTAATCTACTTTCTCCTTGAAGGCATCAGATCTATTATGCATAGGAAGACGAATGTAAGATGGAATCCAGAGGTGTACTCTGACTCCAATGTCTACAGTCCTACCATACTTGTGTCTGGCGTCGGACACAAGCATGCATGCCACGGTTGACACATGAAATTAAGAGCATTTATGGATGATAGAAAATCAGTAACGATTTAGATGATAGATACATGGACATATTTGAGTGCAAGTATATGAAACAGTTCAGTCTGAAGGATAGAAGTCCAATCGTTGATTCGTTCTCCAGTTTCTGTATGAGTGTCATCACTCAATATGACTAGAACGGCACTACCAGATGCACCACTGGGCTCGTGAGCAGAGCCATCAGCATAAATAATTTATTGAAGCGAGTGCTGTGTGACTAAGGCATCAGTACAACTTAAGGCATCGTCCTTGGCCTCAAGACGAAGTTTTAGTGGTGGTTTAATAAAGTTCTTTGAGGAAAAGTGATGGACAGTGGTACAGAAGGAGGTAATTTGCTTTGCTGCAGAGAAGTGTCACTGGTGTTGTCGTACTTGACATTGATTATGTATCTGATTTATTTTTTGGTCAATTCCAGTTTCCATGATCCATTTGTGCTGTAGAAAGTTTGAATGGTTTCTGTGCAATGATATTCAGTCAGTTGCCTGAGCATATTAACACCAATAATACACAAACAACCCACACATAGGAGAGAGAACCTTATAACGAAGTTTCGGTTCGACTTGGACCATTTATAAAGTTACTCTAACTTCTCTTGTCCTCTTCAGTACTTTGGAGAAACTTGCCGTTCTCTTTCTAACAGATTCAAGGAGCACAAAGAAAGTGGTAGGTTTGCAGACACGAATAATGCTCTTTCATGTCATGTTAGAGATCAGTCATTCTATTGACCGGTCCTCTGCTAGAACTGTCTACCCTACTTCTATCCTTAACAGTCGCCGTCTTGTTGAAGCATCCCCTATACACAACTTTCATAAAATGAATCATAGACTTGGCTTTGTCCCTATAGCTGCTTTCCTTTCTCATTACATTGTCAAATGCTCCAAACTTCAGAGCACCGTGACTTAACTTGATCTTTTCTTCTCTCTCTGCCTCTTCTCCTTTCCTTTTTTTCCCGTTTTCTTTGTTTTCCTTTCTTCTGCCTAAGTGTGTTCTGTCCCTCAGTTTTTCTTCCCTGTGTTTTTGATCCTACCCCTTTTGGGCCCTTAGCTCTCCTGCAGTGCTCCTTTTTATAGTCCTTGACTGACTCCACTTCTACTACTGCTACTACCATTCTTATTACTATTGCTACTACCTTTACTTTTGCCTCCCTTCACCCTTCACTCCCCTTTTCATCTCTTGACCCATTAAAACTATTCTCCCTACTTTCTGCTACTTCTACTGCTGCTGCCACTACCAACCTTACCATTACCTCTACTTCTTTTCCTTCCTCTTCTGGTCCCGTTCCTGTCCAGCTCGCCTATATATATTGGCTCCCTCTTTCTTTTGTGCCAGTGTGACTTTGTAAATGATCCAAGTCGGACCAAAACGTCGTTGTAAGCTTCTCTCTCCTATGTGCGGGATATTTGTGTATTCCAATCATGGTATTATGCCTTTTTATTCTTCAACACCAATAAAAAATAAATTTCTTTCCGCATGTTTAGACTTTTAGTGGTAAGGGAACATCCTAGGATGATCCTCATCACTTTGTTCTGCAAATTTGCAAGCTTTCCAGTCTGACACAAGAGCAAGCAAGAGTGCAGCATAATCAAGTAGAGCAAGCAAGAGTGCAGCATAATCAAGTAGAGCAAGCAAGAGTGCAGCATAATCAAGTAGAGCAAGCAAGAGTGCAGCATAATCAAGTAGAGCAAGCAAGAGTGCAGCATAATCAAGTAGAGCAAGCAAGAGTGCAGCATAATCAAGTAGTGATCTAATATAAGCAAAATGCATCATCTCTAGATACAAGGGATGAACTTGAAAGAAGAATAAGGAGTAAACAAGAAGAGGATGATGACTGATGAAACATGTAATTAAAGGAGGGTTCTGGATATGGTTAGGCCATTTAAGAAAGTACTGCAGCAAGAAAGGCAATTAAGAAGGTGCATTAAGAGGGTAAAGCAAGAGATGTAATTAAGAGTGTACAACAGGAGAGCTAAGTGGGTGAGGGAAGAGAACTAATTAGGAGGGTGAATAAATCTGGATTGGATGGAAGGAGGTGTAGGGGACGTCCAATGAATTCTTGGGTGTCACACGAAGGTAGGGGAGTGAACACCAGGAGGTAGGGAAGTGAACACCAGGAGGTAGGGGAGTGAACACCAGGAGGTAGGAGAGTGAACACCAGGAGGTAGGGGAGTGAACACCAGGAGGTAGGAGAGTGAACACCAGGAGGTAGGGGAGTGAACACCAGGAGGTAGGAGAGTGAACACCAGGAGGTAGGGGAGTGAACACCAGGAGGTAGGGGAGTAAACACCAGGAGGTAGGAGAGTGAACACCAGGAGGTAGGGGAGTAAACACCAGGAGGTAGGAGAGTGAACACCAGGAGGTAGGGGAGTGAACACCAGGAGGTAGGAGAGTGAACACCAGGAGGTAGGAGAGTGAACACCAGGAGGTAGGGGAGTAAACATCAGGAGGTAGGAGAGTGAACACCAGGAGGTAGGAGAGTGAACACCAGGAGTTAGGGGAGCGAACACCAGGAGGTAGGAGAGTGAACACCAGGAGGTAGGAGAGTGAACACCAGGAGGTAGGGGAGTGAACACCAGGAGGTAGGAGAGTGAACACCAGGAGGTAGGAGAGTGAACACCAGGAGTTAGGGGAGTGAACACCAGGAGGTAGTAACCTGAACACTAGGAGGTAGGAACTTCAACATTAAGTGGTAGGAACTTGAGCAACAAGAGGCAGGAATTTGAAAAATAAGGGATAGGAACTTAAACATTGGTTACAGCATGCAAAACTGACACTCTAGAATAATTATAAAACATAACCAATGGTATGGGGTAAACAACGCTGGAGAACTGCCTAGCAACTACATTTAATACATGAACATTGATTATAATGGATGTGTGCAATAATTGCTCAAGCCTCGTACATCATTTGTATAAAATATACACTAAATAATTAATATAAGGCAGGTGGATGATGTTTGTTGTAAGTTATATACATAAAAATTAGTATAAGGGACATGCATATACAACAATTCTAAAGCAAATAACGATACTGCGAGTATGTTAAGTAAAAGAAGACAAGTACAACTAATATGACATTTTATTGTGGCAACGTTTCGCTCTCCAGGACCTTTGTCAAGCCGTTACCAATATAACGTCACATTAGTTGTAGTTGTGTAGTTTCACCTAACATATTGTGGGTAATTTTACTGACAATGTGCTCGGTGAAAGGCCACCATGATGGTCCAGTAGATAAAGGCGTCGAGAAATTTACCTCGTGTCCCACGAGGCTGAGTAAATATCTCTGGTTCGATCCCTGGCTAGTTGCAGTATTATTATTATTTATTTATTTTAAAGCCACTTGTTTTGCTGATGCATTAATAACAATTTTAAACTGAGTTCGCACGATAATTTAAAAAAAAAACTAACATACTCCAGTAAACAAATTGTGACTGAATTCATACTGGCACAAGAATACGACTAGTATAATTATTATTACATTCATTGGGGTGCGCTAAGCCCGTAGGGATCATGCAGTGCCTGGAGGAATGTGAGTCATTCAGGTTTGATTCATGGTAATGGAGCACAGGTCTAATTACTTAGGCGAAAAGTTCCCTCACCGGCATCAAGGAACCTCCCTGGAGAGGATACTACAAATATAGACGTTTAGACACTGACTGTAACTCTACGGTAATCACTCACCAGTTTCTCATGTGAGTAATTTTAAACATTGTTGAGAATGTAAATCACACAACTCCTACATATTTATTTTAAACACAATTATTTCTTAAAACTGCCATCATATGCGTACAAGATCGATGTAACATACATCTGGTGTTTGTTAGTTTAGTGTTTAATAATATTAATGTTTATTGTTCGGACTGTTATTGTAACAATGAATTTGTATTACTGTCTATAGCTGAGATAATGTCCAGGTCTTATTTTATAATAAACTATATTACTTTCTCTATTTTTATAATTTTTACAATACTATATTAATGGTGTGATTATTTGTATCAGTGAGTGAGCACGGGCATGTGCTATCTCGCCTTACACCAAATACATGAATACTGATCACAAAGTAGTGAAGGGTCTTCCAGGTCCCTCCACTCCAGCTCAGAGATCAGAATGTGACTGCTGACAACAAAGTCTCATAGGCAAACACCTTTTTGCGCAATAATTTTTAAACATTATCTTGTGTTTGAAGTATGTTCACTGTGTGGACTCTGATTTTTAACTACATTGTAGAAACAGCTTCTGAGAAAAAGGGTCATCACTCTGAACTTCACTCAGAGTATTCTTAAAACACTGCTATATATTCACAAACAAATATCTTACATTATGTCACAGAGGACTTAGTTTCTGCACCTTGCCATGTTTGAACATAAGTGTGAACGTACTGTGTTACACTTTTGTGACAGTTGCTGTGCCTTAGCCTTTTCATGCATCTGTCCCGTGTGAACAGACTATGTATTTAAGTGGAGTACACTATGCGTTCTGAAATTCATTTTGACTCATTTGGATAGTGCTACCCTAGACTTATACTCTGTTACCAGACTAATTTTTGCACGGTTTGATGTGAACTGTCTCGGGAAGAAGTTTGCGTCTCCATGCTAAATAATAAATGGACTTAATATTTTTCCTAGCTTTTTGATTCAGCCTACACTAGGATAGCAAGAACTTTGCTCGTATTGTCTTGGTGTCTTCACACTGTATTCTGTGCACCTACTCTGACTAGATGGTATCGGTAAACATACTCACGGTGCGGACTTAGGGTAGTGTGCTAGCGAGATGTACGTCTTGATACCTGTGAGGGGTCTTAAAAGTGTCTAATATTTCTCGTGATCAGTCCTGTGCTGGACTTATAAATAGTGGGCCGACTAACTTACATTTGGCAGACTCTAAATATGATTGTGAAAGATATCTTTGTTCAGCAAAGGTAGGTGCATCATAGACTGGTGAATAGAAGTAGTAAGATGTATAATTTTGGGATGGTTTACCTACAACAGGCACTTGTTTGGAATCAGAAGCAAGCATCTCTCATAGAAAACTGTGCTGTAAATAACATTAATCTCTAAGCATGCGCATACCAGGTACAACAATGCGGCGAAAAAATCCAAAATCATAGACAATTGACTCTTATGAGTCAATTGTCTATGATTTTGTATTTCAGCAGATTAAAATGATTTTGTGTTTAAGCAGATTAAAATGATTTTGTGTTTAAGCAGATTAAAATAAGAATGACCAGCATATAGGACAAATAATACGTAAGTTTGTTGTAGTTATTATTAATTTTTGACGTTATATCATGCGGTGACAACAACAACATCAAGTACAAAACAGTGGGAACTTTATATAAAGAAAGCTTGAAGAGTAAAGACACACATTACAAAACAAGTTTTTACCGGAAAACGTTTTGCCCTGTGTAGAACTTAATCAAGTTATCCTAATGAAGATGACTCAACAAAACTCTACACAGAGCGAAACGTCGTCCCAAGAGAAGTTTCCCTCCCCCCTCATCATGACGTTTGAATGCACAAGGAAACCCACATGAACGTAAGTGTACAAAGTCAAGCTCAGTGTCTATGTCATGTCTAAACCAGGTGCATGTCTTGGGTAGAACCTTGTATGAAAAAGGAAAATCCCACATGGACGAAAATTAAAACATGAGAGTGAAAAGGATCTGCCTATTTCTGAATCAGTCATGGCCCTCTTCAGCGGGGTCTCTGAGGAAGAAATTTACGGATCTATTCAGTTCTGTGTTTTGCTATCTATTCATCAGGGATGTACGTGTTCATTGAGCAGTGTTTATGGCGCATATCACAAAAACCAAACATATTCAACATGACTTGGTGACTATCAGTACTTTAATGACTTACTTGTCTTAGTTCGGTGGCCAGTCCCAGCACTAGGTCGGTCCTGAGGGCGGCCATCCTGTTGACAGTCTCGCTCTCTGCTGCGCCTTCTACAGAGGAGAATATCGCCGCCCCTGCCACCCACCACGCCACCACCAGCACCATCACACCCACCTGCAAGGTGGTAGCCTCTTATATAGCCGCCCCTGCCACCCACAACACCACCACCAGCACCATCACGCCCACCTGCAAGGTGGTAGCCACTTATATATCCACCCCTGCCACCCACTACAACACCACCAGCACCATCACGCCCACCTGCAGTGGGTTAGCCACTTGCTGTACCACAGAGGCGCTCATATAATGCATATCAAATATTGTTATATTCACAGAGAAACGCTCAACCTTGAGGGTGCAAAGGCTCACCTGCGAGAGTAACGCTCGAGTCACCAAACTGAAGGACTTGGTGGGCAAGGTGAGGTCGTCCAGACCTTGGGTGGTAGGGGTGAGGAAAAGACGGTAGTGTCGTGGTCGTCGTGGTGGCTCCGGGTCGTTCCGTCGTACCTGCACCCCAACGTTACGACGAGACATAGGGATGAAGTGACAGGGACAGTTGCAGAATCGAGTGTTATGGCTGCTCACCACCTCCCCCGTCAGGCCCTGACGATGTAACACATTTTCTTAATAAAGGTAGGTGTTTCAGCGAGTGCGCTACGGGACCCAGTTGAAATACAGTAAGTCGCACTGTTTGACTTAACTGGGCTATCCTATGCTAAATCGACTGGATAAGAACGCTATGTTCTTAAAATATCATTTCTCTCTCACAGATGGCTCCAACTTCATCCTGTCCTGTACTTGTATGTCTCATAACAATAAAAATGCTTTCAAATGAGCTGATGTAGGAAACAGCTCTTAGCTTGCCAATAAAGTTAGGAATCCTTAACCTGTAATATAGCTGTCAATAAAGCTAGGGATCCTTAACCTTGTCAAACCCTGTGTAAAAAAAAAAAAAAAAAAAAAAAAAAAAGAAAAAAAAAAAAAAGTTGCACAAATTTGTATTAATGTTTGTTAAATATTTGCATATTTTCCTGGATAAAATTTATTATTATTATTATTATTATTATTATTATTATTATTATTATTATTGCTGCTAATTCTAAATAATACTTATATTATGGGAATAACTGCAAGTTATGTAATTGTCATATTCCATCACACAGGCTGAGTTTCGTACATAATGTAATGTAATATGTTAGCCTGAGCTAGAAGACTTTAATAAGGTGTTAAGGGCATCGTAAATCTTCCCACTAAGCGTTCTGCAGCTGAGGTAGCTTCAGATGTTTGGATACAACACAGCTGTAGCTACCATTACCATACAAATTTTGAGATGGGGAAGAATAACCTGATAGGAACTTAGTCAACAATACTCAAAAAAATAGTTCATCATACCCACAAAGCAAACACATAACTGTAAAGTTTTAGCAGTAGCAAACGATGATATTAATCAGCACCTGTCTTTCGTATGCTTTAAAAAGCACTGTAATTCCCTTGTTATCAAATATTTTCAGAATAAAAAACTTGGTGACATCAATATAAATTTTCTGCTTCCGTATCATTACCAGTTGTCTCGTCTGGGGTATCTATCCACACATTCTAATAGAATAAATGCCTACCTAGGCCACAGGACTTCATTATTTAAACTGGCTGTTTACGCCCTACAGGTGAGCTTGCTTGCGTGTGTATGGTGGGGTGAGTGGATTAAGTGTATGTGTATGGTGGGGTGAGTATATGAAGTGTGTGTGTATGGTGGGGTGAGTGGATGAAGTGTATGTGTATGGTGGGGTGAGTATATGAAGTGTATGTGTATGGTGGGGTGAGTGGATGAAGTGATGTGTATGGTGGGGTGAGTATATGAAGTGTATGTGTATGGTGGGGTGAGTGGATGAAGTGTATGTGTATGGTGGGGTGAGTGGATGAAGTGTATGTGTATGGTGGGGTGAGTGGATGAAGTGTATGTGTATGGTGGGGCGAGTGGATGAAGTGTATGTGTATGGTGAGGTGAGTGGATGAAGTGTATAAACGCACTTCATGCCAGTTTACAGGCATCATTAATAATGTTCACCTGTCATTATCAACTTCCTGTTAATATCATCATTAGTCATATTACAGAAACATACAATACAATGTTATCAAAACAGTTCAAAGCCAGTATGTCGAATTCCACAAGCTATATCCATTATCCCATTAACGGTGTCCAAAGGCACACAAATCGTATCTATAATTTCACAAACCATCTAGATAATTACAGAAACCAAATACATAATTCAAAGTACAGGTTACAGGTTCGTTAGTATATCTTTGATATTAATTTATCTTTAATATTATTTTCTAAATATAAAACGAACACAAAGTGTTTAAATTTTTGAGACAGGTAAATAGTGTGTTCATCTCTCTCTCTCTTTCTCTCTCTCTCTCTCTCTCTCTACAATGTACTGAATATTTTCAAGTGGGGACGAACTGTCTCTAATTAACACTCTACAATAGATAACAATCTAGTTGACTCTTGTTAACACTCTAGGTAACACTAGTTAACACTCTAGTTAAGACTAGTTAACACTTTCACTCTTGCACACAACTTCTAGATCGTCCATTTACATGAATATGCAGGTGAAGAGTTAAATACATATGATGAATGTCTTGGTGTACTGCGTCTGCCATCACCTAGCTGTGTTTGCGGGAGGGATGGGAGATAGCAACGAATCTCAGCTCCTGGCCCCGACTGGCACTAGGAGCGTCTTACCTGGGCCGACTCGAAGGCGAACCTGGTGGAGTTTTTGACAACCTGCGAGTACTGGGAAGTGACGCTGGAAGGTCGAGATGGGTTGTCTCCCACAACCTGTCAGGGAGACACGGCAGTATATTTAACAAGATCAAGGGCCTTCATACAATATCAAGATACAACACACATAATCAAGACACATCATACAAGATCAAGATATCATATTCGTCAACATCTGCTGCACTTGTTATCTAATCTCCAAGACAGTTCATGTGTCTCAGTGCCCATTACATACTTCGTGTTTGGCTATGCATATATTCACAAATATATCTCCATGACTCACCGAGTAATTAAGTAATTTATGATCAGATACTAACAGTTTGTAAATAACTAAAGAAAAAGAATCAGTTGATGGAGTTACCTCAGGTTCGAGGAACCTAACTCTCTTCTCTCCGTCAGCATCCCAGATGGGAGTGTTGCACCGCGTGGAGGCTGGCGTGGGAGCAGCCACGGGACGCTCGTACAGAGGAGGGATCACCGCAGGGATGTGGTAGTGGTGGCTCCGTGTCTCCATGTTATCATCCACTGGGTGTGGCACATAAGTAAGCGGCTCACCCACCTGGTCACACCCACGCCGTCACCAGCACCAACGTCACCAGCAGCCAGCACCACCGTCACCAGCAGCCAGCACCACCGTCACCAGCACCGCCGTCACGCGCAGCCAGCACCACAGCACCACCGTCACGCGCAGCCAGCACCACCATCACCAGCACCGCCGTCACGCGCAGCCAGCACCACCATCACCAGCACCGCCGTCACGCGCAGCCAGCACCACCATCACCAGCACCGCCGTCACGCGCAGCCAGCACCACCATCACCAGCACCGCCGTCACGCGCAGCCAGCACCACCATCACCAGCACCGCCGTCACGCGCAGCCAGCACCACCATCACCAGCACCGCCGTCACGCGCAGCCAGCACCACCGTCACCAGCAACCAAAGGAACACACAAGACATTGGTAATCTATACAAACCAAAACACGAAAGATGATACAATGTAGCTCACAGATATTCTTATATGCTCAAAAGGTCCTTCTATTAATAATTAAAATAATAATACTAATTATAATAAATCATTATCATCATTATCATCATTTTCAAAAAAGGTATCCCTTATGTCCTAGTACAGAATATCTCACAATGTTCAAAACTCCATTCGTATACACGTAGCTTAGAGAAGCAGGCAATTAATTCCTTACATGAAAATCCACTTTCCAGAGCTACAACATTCTTGATGCTCTCATACTTTCAAACTTAGAGGCGCAACATTCATTAAAGGCTTCAACTGTGTTGCATAAGTGTCTCAATCTTCAGCATTATTGATGTCAGCAACTCTAACAATTCGTTTGTGCTCTTCAAGTCTGTTAGATGGAGAGTGGCCAGTTTCTCCTAAGTATTGGAGAGGACAAGAGGAGTAGGAAATAGAGTAGACTACGAAAGCATCAGTAGCAGGGAGAGAGTGACCTAGTAGCGATTAGTGAATTGGCAGGGCCAGGAGCTATGAATCGACCCCTGCAACCACAAATAGGTGAGTACAAATAGGTGAGTACAAACACCCTCTCTCTCTCTATGTATGTATGTATGTATGTATGTATCTATGTATGTATGTATATATGTATGTATGTATGTATCTATCTATCTATCTAATCAATCTATCTCTCTTAACTGATTCAGCATAATTTTAAAGAAAATTTATCTCTCAGGTACTTACCTGATTTAAAGTATCTACTTTCTGGAAAGGTACTTACGTGTTGGAGTGCTTCTTGACTCACATTAATTTGTTGAGTAACCTCTGACTGTTGTAGAGATACACTGCTATAGAGGTACACTCTCGGAAAGGTAAATTATTTGAGAGGTACTTCTACTTGTTGCAGAAGTACACTGTTGGAGTAGAGCACCTACCTGCTGGGGTAGGGAGGCAGCAGGGTTGTGGACCTGACTTTGGACACGCATACGCGAGTGCGCCGCCGGTGCAGAGAGACGGGAGGCAGCCGAGGCAGGGCGTGGCGAGGTGTCTGGAGAGGGACGCGAAGCTGTAGAAATGAACTGTGAAGCTGCTGAAGTCGGTCGGGAAGAGAGCGTCGAGATGGGACGGGAAGTGTGGGGTTCAGTGTGTGAGCCATCATCGTACTCGTTCATCATGCTGTCAGCTGACACGCCACCTGTTCATTGCAAACAATTTGAACACCTTCACAGCGAGAACAACTTACAACCTTCGACTCTCAGAAGATGCTAATTTCATTTTATCAAACTGGCAGTTTCCCCACCTAGGCAGAGCAGCACTAATGAAGGAGTGTCACCATCACCTAGCTTATGTAAACAGTTGGCATATATCTCAAACCCTCTGCAGGGTAACTCAAAGGAAGATGGATTTATGAAGGATGAGGTTAATCATAGAATTGATGAAGGAAAAAAGGTGAGTGGTGCGCTGAGGTATGTGTGGAGACAAAAAACGTTATCTATGGAGGCAAAGAAGGGAATGTATGAAAGTATAGTAGTACCAACACTCTTACATGGGTGTGAAGCTTGGGTTGTAAATGCTGAAGCGAGGGGGCGGTTGGAGGCAGTGGAGATGTCCTGTCTAAGGGCAATGTGTGGTGTAAATATTATGCAGAAAATTCGGAGTGTGGAAATTAGGAGATGGTGTGGAGTTAATAAAAGTATTAGTCAGAGGGCTGAAGAGGGGTTGTTGAGATGGTTTGGTCATTTAGAGAGAATAAATCAAAGTAGAATGACATGGAGAGCGTATAAATCTGTAGGGGAAGGAAGGTGAGGTAGGGGTAGTCCTCGAAAAGGTTGGAGGGAGGGGGTAAAGGAGGTTTTGTGGGCGAGGGGCTTGGACTTCCAGCAAGCGTGCATGAGCGTGTTAGATAGGAGTGAATGGAGGCAAATGGTATTTGGGACTTGACGAGCTGTTGGAGTGTAAGCAGGGTAATATTTAGTGAAGGGATTCAGGGAAACCGGTTATTTTTATATAGCCGGACTTGAGTCCTGGAAATTGGAAGTACAATGCCTGCATTTTAAAGGAGGGGTTTGGGATATTGGCAGTTTAGAGGGATATGTTGTGTATCTTTATACGTATATACTTCTAAACTGTTGTGTTCTGAGCACCTCTGCAAAAACAGTGATTATGTGTGAGTGAGGTGAAAGTGTAGAATGATGATGAAAGTATTTTTTGGGGGGGATTTTCTTTCTTTTTGGGTCACCCTACCTAGGTGGGAGACGGCCGACTTGTTAATATATATATATATATATATATATATATATATATATATATATATATATATATATATATATATATATATATATATATATATATATATATATATATAGGGAAGTACCACCTCTATGGCTGGAATGGGGACCCTCATCCTCAGAGAAGACAATAAATGTACCTCAGGGAAAACTCAAGGTTCTCCCCGGAGCTGTTTGAATATTTTCTTCTCCTACCACCCCCTATATTTGATATTATATGTGAACATTTATTAATAAACAGAATACATTTACAGAAAAACATAAACATGAATACAATGGCACAATGTATCAAAAACCATGAATTTCCTCCAGCTCCTCCGAGGCCGGACGCGAGCCAAGTATGCAGCAAGCATTTCCCCTTTGGATGGCCACGCTGAGGCGCTGGAACATGAAAGTGGCTGCCCTTGGGTCCCTGTTGGTGTCGATGAGTCTGGAACCCAATTCTTTCAGGAAACGTGTGGCATTTTTTCCCCATGATCCCAAGGTCTCTGAACCCACTGGGACAAATTGATACTGTTGGCTTAGTCCCTGTACTTGCTGATCTTGTACTCCTCCCTGTGGTCAGCAGCTCCTCCCTGTCGCCCCACACTGTGACGGATATAGGTGTTAGCGAGTGTGGACACACAGGTATAGTCCCATGCTAAGAGCTTGCCATTCTTCCAAGGATAGATGGTGATCCCGTTGGGGCGGTTTGCTGGGTTGTGGGTATTGTTGGCTGCTAGTGATCGGGGCTCCCTCTCGGCTGGGCATCCAGCTGTAGCAAGGGTTTTCTTAATGATGTCGTTGACCTCATTGTGTCTTGCATGTCAACCCTTGGCTTTGGAACAGTTAAGACCATGTAGACCATATTGGTCTGCCTGCGCTTCGCTGCAAATACACATATATTCTGTGTGAATTGGGGCAGCAAGGCACAAAGCCACTGCAATACGGAGGGTCTTAGGGCCGAGTCGCGTTCCCATGGCCGATATGGGAACTGTTTGGAGGAAGTCCCCGTAGTGAGTTGCGCTCACAGCCTGGAGACAGGCAGTTTCCCTATCTGATGTTGCAGCCCTGAGCATGTTGGCAAGCACCTTTTCAGCGATCAGGCCATCTCAGCTTGACTGCTTGTGAGCCAGTGCTGCACTAGGGTTTGGTGCTGGAGCAGCAAGAGTCTCCCATTCAGTGATGGCACTGGCATAGCTAGGGCCTTCTATTCCTGCTGAGTCACTAAGGGTATCAGGAAGAATTTGTCTTATCAACTCGTTTGATGCTATGGATGAGGATAGAAAAGCTGGTAGAACAATCTGGGAGGATCTGCGTACTCCTAGCCCTCCAAGCCTGACCGGAAGTGAGGCTTGCAACCACTGTCCATCTTCAAGGGAAAACTTCAATACACTCTCTAGCATGGCCTTAAGGAGATAGTCATATTCCTTGAGTTTTGGACTGCTGAAGGCTGGGGAGCATCTCAGAAAGTAGGTAAGTTTTGGGATTGACAGGCACCTGGTGTGTAGGTAGAAGGCATCATGTGTGTCAATGTCTTTCATCCTGCTTTCCATCGTCTGGAGGTCTGAGACTTTTTTTTTTCTAGGATCAGATCGATGGCATTGGACCCAAGAGGAGCACCGAGGAGAGTGCTATTGGCTGGATCAATGGCTCGTGCTCCTGGTAAAACGGCGCTAATATTCTGGATCATCTGTTGATTGGTAGAAACTATTTCACATTTGGTGGGGTTTAAAGAAAGGCCCAGGCTTTCTCCCATGTCTGTAATTTTACTGATGTCCTCCAGGAGAGATTCTGTTGTGCCCGCTAGGGTACCATCATCCAGGAACCAGATATTGACTCAGCTCACTGGAGACTGTGACTTCCTTGATGACCAAACAGAATAGAAAGAGGGCGAGAGGGTCCCCTGTTGCACGCCCTCACATGAGTCAATTTCATGGTCCCCAAACGATTCTATTAAGGGATAAAGGGAAGGGAAGTTTCTATGTACTGCTTGGAAAGGAGCATCCCTTCTGACTGAGTTGAAAGCGTTGGCAAAGTCCAATTTGACCATGATGCAATATGATGCAAAAAATCAGGGGAGGAGTTGAGTGATAGCTCTAGGCCTTTCGTTTGTAATCAGCACATCATCAGGAGCTTGCAATGTTTAAGATTTCTCCTCGACATTGTAATGGTAGAGTTAACAGGATTGGTTGCAATGGCTGCAACCAATCGTCAATGAAAAAAATATCTATCATTCTATAAAAGACTTTTTTTTAAAGTTTAATTTTTAAGGGAAATTCGGCTCTGTTCGGCAAGGTCGGTTTATTAGGCGAACTTGACTAATGTAAATGTTGATACTAAGACGGTTTTGTTAGGACCACGCTGGTCTTGGTGGGACCATGCTGGTCGTGGTGGGACCACGCTGGTCTTGGTGGGACCACGCTGGTCTTGGTGGGACCATGCTGGTCTTTGGTGGGACCACGCTGGTCTTGGTGGGACCATGCTGGTCTTGGTGGGACCATGCTGGTCTTGGTGGGACCATGCTGGTCTTGGTGGGACCACGCTGGTCTTGGTGGGACCATGCTGGTCTTGGTGGGACCATGCTGGTCTTGGTGGGACCACGCTGGTCTTGGTGGGACCATGCTGGTCTTGGTGGGACCACGCTGGTCGTGGTGGGACAATGCTGGTCTTGGTGGGACCACGCTGGTCTTGGTGGGACCACGCTGGTCTTGGTGGGACCAAGCTGGTCTTGGTGGGACCATGCTGGTCGTGGTGGGACCACGCTGGTCTTGGTGGGACCATGCTGGTCTTGGTGGGACCACGCTGGTCGTGGTGGGACCATGCTGGTCTTGGTGGGACCACGCTGGTCGTGGTGGGACCATGCTCGTCTTGGTGGGACCACGCTGGTATTGGTGGGACCATGCTGGTCTTGGTAGGACCATGCTGGTCTTGGTGGGACCACGCTGGTCATGGTGGGACCACGCTGGTCTTGGTGGGACCATGCTGGTCTTGGTGGGACCACGCTGGTCTTGGTGGGACCATGCTGGTCTTGGTGGGACCACGCTGGTCTTGGTGGGACCACGCTGGTCTTGGTGGGACCACGCTGGTCGTGGTGGGACCAAGCTGGTCTTGGTGGGACCATGCTGGTCTTGGTGGGACCACGCTGGTCTTGGTGGGACCATGCTGGTCTTGGTGGGACTACGCTGGTCTTGGTGGGACCATGTTAGTCTTGGTGGGACCACGCTGGTCTTGGTGGGACCACGCTGATCTTGGTGGGACCATGCTGGTCTTTGGTGGGACCACGCTGGTCTTGGTGGGACCATGCTGGTCTTGGTGAGACCACGCTGGTCTTGGTAGGACCATGCTGGTCTTGGTGGGACCATGCTGGTCTTGGTGGGACCACGCTGGTCTTGGTGGGACCACACTGGTCTTGGTGGGACCATGCTGGTTTTGATGGGACCACGCTGGTCGTGGTGGGACCATGCTGGTCTTGGTGGGACCACGCTGGTCATGGTGGGACCATGCTGGTCTTGGTGGGACCACGCTGGTCTTGGTGGGACCATGCTGGTCTTGGTGGGACCACGCTAGTCGTGGTGGGACCATGCTGGTCTTGGTGGGACCATGCTGGTCTTGGTGGGACCAGGCTGGTCTTGGTGGGACCACGCTGGTCTTGGTGGGACCATGCTGGTCTTGGTGGGACCACGCTGGTCGTGGTGGGACCACGCTGGTCTTGGTGGGACCATACTGGTCTTGGTGGGACCAGGCTGGTCTTGGTGGGACCACGCTGGCCTTGGTGGGACCATGCTGGTCTTGGTGGGACCACGCTGGTCTTGGTGGGACCATGCTGGTCTTGGTGGGACCATGCTGGTCTTGGTGGGACCATGTTTGTCTTGGTGGGACCATGCTTGTCTTGGTGGGACCATGTTGGTCTTGGTTGGACCATGCTGGTCTTGGTGGGACCACGCTGGTCTTTGTGGGACCACGCTAGTCGTGGTGGGACCGTGTTGGTATTGGTGGGACCATGCTGGTCTTGGTGGGACCATTCTGGTCTTGGTGGGACCATGCTGGTCTTGGTAGGACCACGCTGGTCTTGGTGGGACCATGTTGGTCTTGGTGGGACCACGCTGGTCTTGGTGGGACCACGCTGGTCTTGGTGGGACCATGTTGATGTTGGTGGGACCATGTTGGTCTTGGTGGGACCATGTTGGTCTTAGTGGAACCACGCTTTCCTTGGTGGGACCATGTTGGTCTTGTTGGGACCATGCTGGTCTTGGTGGGACCACGCTGGTCTTGGTGGGACCACGCTGGTCTTGGTTGGGACCATGCTGGTCTTTGTTTGAACATGCTGGCCTTGGTGGGACCACGCTGGTCTTGGTGGGACCACGCTAGTCGTGGTGGGACCACGCTGGTCTTGGTGGGACCACACTGATCTTGGCGGGACCACCCTGGTCTTGGTGGGACCACCCTGGTCTTGGTGGGACCACACTGATCTAGGTGGGACCACACTGGTGTTGGCGGGACTATGCTCCTTGAAGCGTCTTGCATTTATAATGTGACAACAGTGTGATTCACACGCACCCAGACACTGTTAACACAGTAGTTGGGAAAAGATTTCATGTCTACGAAAATTTCTTCTAAAATGCACAATAATTGTTATGTGAGTGTGTGGACGTTAATGGTAGGGTCGACTTCTCAACTTAGATTAAATTGTTATGGGAAGACAACACGATATTTGTTAAGAGTTTATACCTGAAGATTCTAGGTGAAGAGAAAGTAAACAGTGGATGTATATACTCCTATGTGTATTTACATTTGCAGATATACGGTTCGTATATACGTAATCAGTGTATAGACAGTGTTCATGCACACTTAAGAAACTGTATTCATTCATCATTAGATCTGTGTGGGTTGTGCAGCAGAAAGAATGGTGTCAGAAATTCGATTCTCCATCTCTGTTCCCGAGACAAATATACTACGTCTGATCTAGAAGGAAAATGTGTTGTGAGTTCTGGCGGTGAGCATGGTTAGCGTGTGACCTACCTGCGTGAGGACCATGATAGTGTTTAGAGGCCGGTCCATTGCCGGTAGACGGTGCCGGGTTCGGTCCGTTGCCGGTAGACGGTGCCGGGTTCGGTCCGGTGCTGCTGCTGCTGTGTGCTTGTTGGATCTCCTCGTCCAGAGTGTCCAGACGCCAAGGTGTCGTTGGCCGGCTTGGCGGAGTGTGAGACGGGGAACCATCCCGGGGATCCTGAGAGACACAAATGGCTGGGATTTAGTCCGGCAGGAGAGACCATAATTTACTATTAGTCTAACCAGGGGGAAAAAAATCCCACGGAGACAATTTTTGTATCATTTGGTGAGGAAATTTGTCCTTTATCACACGTTTAAAAGTCCTCATCAATTCCTTTTGGGGATTTTTTAAAAGGGAATTTTAATAAGGTCCTTTATGGCTATGATATTTCATTTTCGGTCAAGTGAATCAGGGACGATTATAAGGGACTCAACTGATAATTCTTTTTAAGTTACGTTAATAACCACTCTAGTTTTTCTCACTAAAATATAAACAAAATATGCACAATTTTTCTTGAATACAGAACAACTTAATAAATAACTTAGATGTATTTTTTTAAGATCCGTGGAGTGGATAACATCAAGGATATAGAAAGAGGGAGATAGTATATAGCTACGCGTATTCACAAGTTTGTAAAAACACTGATGCCAGTAGTATAGGTCAAGGTATTTTACAGACTGTGAATCCGAAGACAGTAATACACTGATTCTCTATGGATTAGGTACGGGTTACCTATGATTTTGAACTACGTTGGCTCTTAGATGAACTTTTTCAGCTTGGTTTTACAGTTTCAATGGACTAAGTTTATTTATTAAGATATTCGGTCATACAAGAGGAGAGTTTGGAAATTTAGATACCTCCAACAAGCAATCACTGGAAAAGGAACATTCATGGTATGGAATCAATAGCAAAGTTCACGAAATACCAGTTGTACTTGTCTGGTTAATGTATCAAGCGCAGAGCGAAAATGCAAGTTCATGAGCTGGTTTGCAGATAAAGGGATACCAACCATCTCATACACTGGGTCTTCAACATCAGCTCTTTCTGGAATAGTATTTTAGTCAGTGTTAACTTTGCAGGTGCCGTACACACAACAGCCGTCTGGGTTTTACTCAGATGTCTTTTGGCAGTCAGCAAGTCTTCTCAAAAGATCAGTTCTTACGACAAACTGGTAAGGCGTCAGGCAATGTATTTTCAGAGCAAATAATGGAAAAGCTGACATGAAATCACATGCAGTCCTCTTGCCAATCAAAGAATTTAGTCCAGATGATGAAATGTGTGTATATTAAAATTTACTGTAAATTGATGAATATGCAAGTCGCTTAAACTTGCCAATTGCTTGCGTGACATTTGTCAACAACAGTGGCTAAAAGCAGTTAGGCTGATTCCATCTTTTAGTGAGTGCTTGGGGCAGTGTCTCGTATGATGAGGGGATCGGGAACAGAGGAAGCACTGGAAGTATATAGCACCAATGCTGTAACCATATGATCCGCGGTAAAGCTATTGCTCGTGCTCTCCGAGGACTGTCTGATAAAGGACGCCCTCACAACAAACTTCTTTGCCACTATGATTCCATAAAACTCTTGTGATCGTGAAGGTAGTGTTAATAAAGATGTAGAGAGAGATTCTTGGACAGTTGTTGAAGTAGTTCAAGAACACAGTTCTATCGGTGTACAATACTCACAACTAAAGGAACCAGAGCAACAAGAACTCAGTCACCAGTGCTTCTTTCACTGAACGGTGCCGTAGAGAGCATAAAGATATTATTGAGCAGTCAGTCACGCACAGCAAAACTATGGATACAATGTAAAGGTCATGCTGCGCTTAAGGAATGGGAGGCATTCGAATCTAATTCGAGAAAGTGGGAGCTAGCTCCAATTCCTCGGCTCAAGAACCCCTCCACCATCATCAACGCCCACATACCTGAGAGGACACAGTGGCAATACTGTTACCACCACCTTGTGGGTCACAGGCGTGGGCGTGGGGCAGCGTGGGCGTGCGACTCAAGTGTCTGGTGATAGATGTCAGCCACCCACTACTGGGCATCCCGTCTGAAATGATAAAAAGAAAAATTCATGAGTCATTTGCATCACCAACAGTCTGGTCGGTCGAAGACCGGATCATAAATAGTGGAGAGAGGACTAAATGATCCGCTTACGTTTATCACATCAGGGTGTCCCCATGATTAATTCACAACCGAGAGAAAGTACAACTGCAAAATGGTGTCAAATACTGTGGTGAAACGCAGTGTTTTCAAGATGATAAAGATACTCAGAAAGTATATTGCTATAAACATTTGCTGTTGTTGCTGTAGCGGTAGGAATGTTAACCCCGCACATGTGCAATACGATTGCATTTTCTTGGACTGCAAGAAGGCGTTTGACACAGTTCCACACAAGAGATTGGTGCAAAAACTGGAGGACCAAGCAGGGATAACAGGGAAGGCACTACAATGGATCAGGGAATACTTGTCAGGAAGACAGCAGCGAGTCATGGTACGTGGCGAGGTGTCAGAGTGGGCACCTGTGACCAGCGGGGTCCCGCAGGGGTCAGTCCTAGGACCAGTGCTGTTTCTGGTATTTGTGAACGACATGACGGAAGGAATAGACTCTGAGGTGTCCCTGTTTGCAGATGACGTGAAGTTGATGAGAAGAATACACTCGATCGAAGACCAGGCAGAACTACAAAGGGATCTGGACAGGCTGCAGACCTGGTCCAGCAATTGGCTCCTGGAGTTCAATCCCACCAAGTGCAAAGTCATGAAGACTGGGGAAGGGCAAAGAAGGCCGCAGACGGAGTACAGTCTAGGGGGTCAGAGACTACAAACCTCACTCAAGGAAAAAGATCTTGGGGTGAGTATAACACCAGGCACATCTCCTGAAGCGCACATCAACCAAATAACTGCTGCAGCATATGGGCGCCTAGCAAACCTCAGAACAGCATTCCGACATCTTAATAAGGAATCGTTCAGGACCCTGTACACCGTATACGTTAGGCCCATATTGGAGTATGCGGCACCAGTTTGGAACCCACACCTAGCCAAGCACGTAAAGAAACTAGAGAAAGTGCAAAGGTTTGCAACAAGACTAGTCCCAGAGCTAAGAGGTATGTCCTACGAGGAGAGGTTAAGGGAAATCAACCTGACGACACTGGAGGACAGGAGAGATAGGGGGGACATGATAACGACATACAAAATACTGAGGGGAATTGACAAGGTGGACAAAGACAGGATGTTCCAGAGATTGGACACAGTAACAAGGGGACACAGTTGGAAGCTAAAGACACAGATGAATCACAGGGATGTTAGGAAGTATTTCTTCAGCCACAGAGTAATCAGTAAGTGGAATAGTTTGGGAAGCGATGTAGTGGAGGCAGGATCCATACATAGCTTTAAGCAGAGGTATGATAAAGCTCACGGCTCGGGGAGAGTGACCTAGTAGCGATCAGTGAAGAGGCGGGGCCAGGAGCTCGGACTCGACCCCCGCAACCTCAACTAGGTGAGTACATGTATGACTTTATTTCGAAGACGTTCCGCCAGTACAGAGCTTGTCAACTGGGAGAGTAAAAGACGAAGTAATGAGTCCCTCTGTCTTGAAGTCAGTGGTTGCGGCGACGTCTACAAAATAAAGATACCCAGGTGTTGCACATATGTCCAGTTCAACAGCTTATTGATACCGTGTACATCATTAATGTTATGATGAGTGAGAAACACCACCCCTGCACTCTCCCCGTAAGATGGCTTCGCACACAACGTACTTTGCGAGCGAAATACCGAAGGGCTCTGCCCAAGTGACCGTCACTACGTGAGAGGCACAGAAGAGATTCGTTGTGTCAAAGTTATGTCTATTACGTTGTAAGCCAGGTTATTACGCTGCTGGGCGCTTACACTGAACTATCATACTTCACAGTATATACACCAGGCTTTCATACAGAAAAAAATATATAATGGGCTATCACAATGCCAATTCCTTGCGCATGCGTTCCGTCCTCTGCATCTTGTCTGCCGAAAGACACATCCAGTCTTCTCGAACTTCTTAAATTTTTAAAGTAAAAAAACATATATGCTTTATTTAGTCGGAGATTATGATTCACTGGCATTGTAAAGGAAAGGGAGAAGTATGATGACTAACAGCCCATGACACAGATCGTCAAAACCTGACGTTAAAGAATAGAAAAATCACAGTATCGTGGCTGGAACAATACACAAATAACCCATACCTAGGAGACTGTAACTTACGACGACGTTTCGGAACACAGTTTAACCCCAGTTTTTTTTTTTTTTTTGCCGGGCGTTTTTATTATGATGGTTTCTTGTGAGAATGAATTGATGTCGATCAATACTACCATCTACCCACCTTCCCAGGAGCGGCGCAAGTATTTCTATACTTAGCAGGTGGCTGGTTGAAAGGCTAGGAGACTTGCCTTGAGGCAGCGTTATTATTATTAATGTTTTTATTTTGGGGGCTGATGGAGTTTCGGTGGGCTTCTTCCCTCCATACCCCCATGCCACCCCTCTTTGCCTCCACTTCACCAACTGCAGAGGTGGTCAACCAGCCAATACTCCCACCTACGAGAACACCCACTACCTAACCTCTCCCTGGGGTACAAGATCGTCTGATCCCATTACAGTAGTAATAGTGAGACACAAGTGTGTCACAGGCGTCCCGTTACCAACACAGTAACACCAAAACCTTCCGACCCACCACTAATGTGTCAGAAACAATTTATACTTTTATATAAACCTCGTCGAAGCTCATCTGGCACATCTGCGTCATTCTTCAAAGACCTTTGTTATCACCAGGAGCTTGACTGCTTACGAGCCCAAGCGGACGGAGGGTCGTACCTCCAAAAAAAAATATAATAACGAAAGCAATTCATAAAAATTACGGTCTCAGAAGATCTTGTATGGATACAAGGCTGTGATACCTTGTGAGTCAGTGGTGAATCAGGTCGCAGCAGCCTTACGATACCTCATTGTGTTGACTTCATCATTAATCTCCGCCGCTACAGTGCATTAACCTAATTGTCTTAGAACGATTAGTGTAATTTAAGGAATCCTTAAATCTTGGTTGCTTCATTATCGTCGGGAGATTTTTTTTTTAGCAACACAACTCTGTTACAGCTCTAGCACAGCTCCGGAACAGCTCTGTGACTGTTACGCTTCTAGCACAGCTTGGGTATAGCTCTAGCACAGCTATGGTGCAGTATTGTTACACCTCTGTTACAGCTCTAGAACAAGATGATGACCAGCAAGAGAACATGTGAGCCACACACACAAGAACGTGTGAGCCAAACACATTAATGTTTGAGCCACACACACAAGGAGGTATGATCTCCCCCCCACACATGAGAAGGTATAACCTCCCCCCCACATACACGAGAAGGTATGTTTCCCCCCACACACAAGGAGGTGAGAGCCACACACCCAAAAGGAGGTGAGAGCCACACACACACAATGACGTGTGAGCCACACACACACAAGGACGTGTGAGCCACTCACTCAAGGACGTGTGAGCCACACACACACAAGGACGTGTGAACCACACACACACAACGACGTGTGAGCCACACACACACAAGGACGTGTGAGCCACACACAAGGACGTGTGAACTGCACATACACACAAGGACGTGTGAGCCACACACACACAAGGACGTGTGAACCACACACACACAAGGACGTGTGAGACACATAAACACACAAGGACGTGTGAACCACACACACAAGGACGTGTGAGCCACACACACACAAGGACGTGTGAGCCACACACAAGGACGTGTGAGCTACACACACACACAAGGACGTGTGAGCCACACACAAGGACGTGTGAGTTACAAACACACACAAGGACGTGTGAGCGACACACACACAAGGACGTGTGAGCCACACACAAGGACGTGTGAGCTACACACACACACAAGGACGTGTGAGCCACACACACACAAGGACGTGTGAGCCACACACAAGGACGTGTGAGCTACACACACACACAAGGACGTGTGAGCCACACACAAGGACGTGTGAGCTACACACACACACAAGGACGTGTGAGCCACACACACACAAGGACGTGTGAGCCACACACAAGGACGTGTGAGCTGCACACACACACAAGGGCGTGTGAGCCACACACACAAGGTGGTATGAGCCACACACATGACTGGGGGACAGTATATTCCATTAAAGGTAACTTGAAGGTAAAAAAAAAATGATCAGGTTAATAGACACCCCACCAGAAACAACGACCACAACAACACTAGTTTTTAATCTTCACGTCTACTCCGTCTTATTGAGCATTTTATATACATATATATATATATATATATATATATATATATATATATATATATATATATATATATATATATATATATATATATATATATATATATTATATATTATATATATATATATATATATATATATATATATATATATATATATATATATATATATATATATATATATATATATATATATGTCTTGCCGAATATGTAAAACTGGTCAATTAGCAAGAACTCATTTAAAATTAAGTCCTTTCTAAAATTTTCTCTTATACGTTTAAAGATATATTTTTTTCATTAATGTTAATGTAAAATTTTTTAATTTTGCACCAAAAGGAACTTAGAAAACTTACCTAACCTTATTATAACAAGAACAATTTATTTTAGCCTAACCCAACTAAATATATTTTAAATTTGTTAACAATAATTTAATACTTAAGAAACACAGTGAAATATATTTTTTTTCGTTAGGTTAAGAATGATTTTGGCGAAATTATTGCATACACAAATTTTCGCTTGTCTTATATGGCAAGATGAGCGTTGCTATTTAAGCCAAGATCGCAAGTTCTGCCTATTCGGCACGACATATATATATATATATATATATATATATATATATATATATATATATATATATATATATAATATATATATAAATATATATGTGTGTGTGTGTGTGTGTGTGTGTGTGTGTGTGTACTTGCCTATTTGTGGTTGCAGGGGTCGATTCACAGCTCCTGTCCCCGCCTGGTTGCTACTAGAGCCT